TGATACCTTCATAAAACACACAGACTGATGCAGAACAAAGGTACAACACTGCTCATGCTTTCACCCAAGCTATAATGGAACTGAACATGGGAAGGAGAGCTCAGAAAGGCTGTTGTGACATGCTGCGGTCTTCCATAATTGAAGCCGAAAAAGTGAGGATGCCCTCAGTGCAGAAGAATCAGGGTATTTACAGCAACCTTTTGAGAATGAAGATTGAGGATGAGACATTTATGTGGAAGATCATTCAAGAAGCATAACAGAGCATTGCATTGCTAAAAACAAGAAGGCGGAGAGAACTTCATTGAAACCTGTTTCCAGGATGAATAAGTTGGTTTGGACTTGGTTTTGTTGTTTAAGTTGTTGAATTGTTTCATGAACTTAGTTTAAGATTCTGTTTTAATATGACAAGCAATTCCTGATTAGTGCAAAGTACATGTGACCTTGCCATTGTTGCATCTTTGACATTTTCTGTTGTTGAATAAATGGCTCATTATTCATCTGATTATTCACTTAATACCTTTGGCTAAACCCTCTTTCAAGTATTGTGGAGTGAAGCCTTTCATGATAGTCAGTTGGATGAGCGGAATCCTGAGGAATCTCCTTTAGATACTTCGATCATCAGTAATCCTTCAAAAGTTTCAGAGAGCAGATGGTCTGCTATGTTGCCTTGAAAAGCTGGAACATCTCATGGGGCAGCATTGAATCTGGGAGAGACAGTGCTGTGTGCAGTGTTTCTTAGCAGAACAATAAGATGTAAGGGAGAGTGGACATGTGAGCTGCCATTGTACATCTCCTACTCTTGAACAGCATTAAACTCCCTCGAAAAGGTTAGAGATAGATAGAAGTAACCTTTATATCCAGGGATGTGTGGAATCGTCAATGATTCCATACACTCATCCACAAAGTGGGTATATAAGTGCAAAATGTTTTGTGCAAACCAGACCCTAGCACAATCCCTGCACACACTGCGTTTTGGCTCAGTGTTATTCACGTCAAAACGCAATGCATGAGCATGAGCCATAGTCCTGAGTGCTATGATTCAAGGATTCCTGATGTTTGATGCTATCTGCATCAATGAGTCATTTGCTTGAGAGAGATGAACAATACTTGTCCATTACAACTTTATTCATCCTTGGAATGTTTGAAGAGGCTGCTCAACTCTTTCAACTCTGCAGCTTAACCAGATCTGACAGTGAAAATGACACGACAGCAGACATTGTAACCATACACGTGAGGATATATTTACCAAAGTTATTTACAATTGTCTGTCACCCGTGCCACCAATGTGCTCTCATTAAATATTTTTTCTTCCCCCTTGGAAGGCCATGGCCATTTGGGAGTAGTGAGCCCAGGCCTGCTGATAGCATCCTGCCAAGATGCAGGCTCACCTTCCTCATCTTTCTGTACTGTTGCAAGTTTGAGATCACAGGCAGGGGCGAGATGGAGGCTGGACCTGGGTCTCCATGCTGGTCAAGTGTCAGAGCTATCATGTTATTGATAATGTTGGTGGACTCCTCCATCCTTTAATTGAGTTCACCGATTGCCTCTGACAAACCTGCCTGCTGTTCCTGTGTCTGTCTGCATATTGACAAATGGCTGAGACCAGGGACAATCTTTTTCCTTGGGCTCAGCAGGTGCCTGCCATCTAGAACCATCTGAGTGTCATGGCCCTGGGGTATTTCTTCTTTGACTTGCTGCAGAGACATGCCAGTGACTTATTCGCCAGCTTCTGCTCCTGAGTCTAATCATGAAAGGTGAAGGTCTCGGAGCTGGTGGTTGGTGCAGGTGAAAGCCTTGCTGGTGCGTCTGAAAGTTTAGTAGCTTCTTCCTTGGAGGTGTAAGTGATGCTGACAGTCTCAGACAATGGTCTCTTCAAGGCAGAACTTTATTGGGTGCAATGAGGCAAGGGGAGCAATTGAATATCTTGGAAGCGTGTGGAAGAGCAGTTAGTGGTTAGCTGGAGAGGATCAAGATTAGGAGAGCTAGTGAAGTGGCCGTAGTGAGTGAATAAGGAGTACATAGAGCAGGAAGGGTTTGTCATGTGGGTAAAGAATTGGGTCAGAGCCATGGAATGGACATAGTGCATGCAGTAGGGAGAGTTGCAGTCTGTGCCTTGTTGAAGGGCACATACAGTGACAGAGTTCTCATGAGTGGTGGCCCTGTGAGTGTGAGGTACCCCGAGAAATGATGCTGGCACCTTTGCAGACTGCAGAAGATCACTGACCTTCTTCCAGAACTGCTGTGTGTTACATTCACCCAAACATTGCACTGACCTGGGCTCCTCTCTGTCGGATAGGTTCTGGTGGTGTGGCTTCCTTCGGCAGTCAGCATGGTAAAGGACAGGCCTCTTCTCCAGCATCCTGTACAGCAGCACCTCCAGGTCTCTGTGTGCAAAGTGGGGTGCTAACTTGCCTTTATGTGCCATTTCCTCAGTGTTAATAGTGGGAAGGCACAGCATGAAGGTCAGATGCTTGCTTGCTGTACCTGGACTGGTGCGCAGCTGAGCTTTAAATAAGGCTCCAGTAGTGTGAACACGGCAAGGTCTCATCAGTGATGAGCACTTCCATCTGTCCTGTTGCACAATTCCACAGAAATCGGGGAGTGGGTGTCAAAAAGTGCGGTTGTATGATGCGTGAGGTGAGTAGCAGGAGATTACATGAGAAAGTAATTTTAAGCCAAGGGGGAGCACACACTATGAATCTTACTTGACAAACCACTTCAACTGAAAATGTAGAAATTCTGCTCTGAGAATTTTTATGGCATTGATAGATGTGTTATCTATTAGATTAGCAACAAACCAATTACACAAATGGTCCATTTTGTAAGTTAATGGTTGTTCTCTAGTGTTCTTCTTGGGGCACCATCAGTAGTGTAGATTGTTTTTTAGGACATTTAAACAAAATGGAAGTAGAATTAGATTTATTGTCCCATGTGCTCAGATGAGTGCAGTGAAAAATTTACAATGTCACCACTTACAGCGCCATCTTAAGTACAAAGGTACCTAGGTACAAAATCTGCGCTGAGCCTCACCACCAAACCATGCTGGGCCTCACCTCCCAACAGAGCCAACATCGCCTTTAAAATAAGGGAGATCAAATACTGAGCCAATCATCATATTTATTGTCCACATTTTATTACTATGTCACAGAATCTTTAATAGCTATAAAAGTTACAGAGCAAGAGGATTGCAGGCTTACTTAGACAAAGGATCAGTGAATCATTACAGTGCAGAAGAAGGCCATCATGCCTATTGTGTCTGCATAGGCTCTCTGAATGAGGAATTCTCTTAGTTCCATTCACCCACCTACTCCCTGTAACCCTGCCCTTTCTTCCCTTTCGGATAACAGTCTAAATCCCTTTTGAATGTTTCGAATGAACCTGCCTTCAACGCAGTCTCAGGCAACACATTCAAACCTTAACTGCTTGCTGTTCGAAACATTTTGCATTTTACTGTTGATTTGTTTGACAGTTGGCCCTCTTGTTCACAGTCCTTGCACATGTGGGAACAGTTTCTCACCATCTGCTGTGTCCAGCCCCCTTGTGATTTTGGCACCCTGTGTTCCACACTTTCACACCCCTTGAATCTTTCCAACATTGAAACTTGTAAGAAATGACTCTGTCCCTGTTCATTAAATCAGAAGCAATCACAGTTTTATTGGATTTAGGGAAGTTTTCATGCAGCTGTCACTTAGATTTAATGATGATATCACTGGTGAGTTGCTGACCTATTTTCTCCTGGATGGATTTTTTAAAAACATATTTGCAATGCCTGCTGAAAATTCAGAATGAAATTTAGCAACAGCTGTTGGATTGCATTTAATCTGTAGCTAGGAAAACGTGTCCACTGAATACAACAGGTGCAGATTCCATTTTATGATGGCTAATATGTCTCCAAAATGCCCCTGTCACATACTGTGGACCTCCCCATTCCTCTCCCCCACCTAGTTCCAGTTTACAGTGTAGATTGTAGCAGGAGAGTACACGCCTCACATACATGCTGCCTATGTTATTTAAAGTGAGAATATTAAACTGAATGGGCAGCTCAGAAACAGAAGTTTCAAAAACACCTTTAGAGAAAGACTTACACTGATGCATCACTTTTCATGACGGCTGCACATGTCAAATCCTTTTGAGCCAATGAAGGACTTTTTGAAGTGTAGTCATTGCAGTGAAGATGAAACACAGGAGCCCATTTTTCATGCAGCAAAGTCCCAAAAATAGCACTGTGATAATGATGAGATTATCTGTTTTGTGGCGTTGACCAAGGATAAATATTGGCTCTGAGACCGGGGATAACTTCCCTGCTTTTCTTTGAAATAGTGCCTACAGGACTTTTTCCAGAGCAGGCAGAAACAATCTCTGTTCAATGTTTCACCCAATAGGAGGGACTTGTGACTGTGGAGCATACCATCAGTACTGTACTACACTGAAGAATGTTGGTTTTTATGTCGTAATCCGAGAGTGGGTCTTGAACACAAAACTTTGTGATGTAGAGATGAGAGTGCTATCAACTGAGCCACAACTGACACCAAATAGAATATAGAAGTAGATCAAGAGCAGGTAAATGAAAGAATAGCATTTCGAAAGTAATACTTTTTATAACCGTATCATAGCTCTGAGCTAGTCACAATCTCACTGCAGTTATCAGACTCAATCCAGCCCTGACCTCTTTATCAGAAACAGGATTCATAACTGTTGTCCTCAACCACTCAATTTTACAGACACCTCCTCATAAACATGATTTACTTGGCAGTTTTGCGCTGGCCTTTGACTGCTTCTAACTCGCTGGTTGTGCTCACAATGGTATGTTTGAGTTAGATGCGTGGAAACATTTGAAATAGATTTGGTAGCAGTGACATATTACATTGCAACATTTACACCATCTCACTGTAGCAAGATATTTGGATCAAAATGTTTTAAATTCTCAATTTTGATCTGTAAATTTTAGCCGAGTCTAAGTGGAAGATTTTCTTATTGTTTCATTTCTTTTTTTTTTGCAGATCAGCCGCAAGTTGAGTTAGCACTCACTGGAAGTGGATTCCGTGTCTGTTTAAACATCAGCCCAGTGACAGAATATGATTTCAATGAATGTCTTCTTGGTGAAAAGGTTTATGCTATAAGTACTCTTCAAAATAATTCACTGTTGCTTCCACTATTCTTTCAGTTCCCTAAGATAGCACATTTTCGGATCACTCCTGCAAAAGGAAAGATTAAGCCAGGACAGTCAAAGGTAAATATCTTCAACATACCCTATAATTTTCTGATTTGTGATATGTTATAATTGCCTAGATTTGAGGGAAAAGTATTCACTTGGTTTTATTGTATGTATTTATAAATGACTCATGTTGGGTTGCCTTTACTCAATAACGAGTATTTTGTGAGTGCAGTCTTGACTGAACAATTATCATTGTTAAGCCGTGGAATGTTAAAAACAATGAATTGAAATGGATCAGCAGCATGACAAGAGAAAGGTTTTCTGAAGGTGCATAGATGGCCCCCAACTGATTTCATAAATGTAAAGAGCTTCTAATCATGTGCACATTGCAACCATGTGCACCAAGTGCTGAATGAATTCCTGCTGTTCTTTTAGCAGTTTCAGTGCCTTTATTTCATGCTAATGCGCCAGGCTACCATTGTTCAAGGGAGGAAAGGGGCCAGAGTGAAATTTTTCTTTAAAGTCCTGACTAATGATCTTGAGGGAGACAAGGAGAGGTGGTGATAAAAGAGTTGAGACAGGGGCTGCTGGACTCACAAGTGGTGGTGACCTTCAAGGGTGGGAGGTGGTTTGAAGTAGTTATATTTTCCATCCATAAGAAGGATTAGCAAAAAAATTCTGAGCTTGTGATCACAGAAATGTATAATGTCTAGTCTTTTAAAATTGAGTGTGCATAACAATTGCAACTTTGATTTCACACCAATCATAAAGATTCAGCCAAATCAAAAGTTTTCAAGCAACTTTAATTATCTTTCTTTTTTTCCTGTCAAACAGGATGTTATTATCTGCTTTGCTGCTGAGCAACTTGGCACCTTTCGAGTAATTCAACTGATAAAGTTTTTTGGACTGGTGACAGTCCCAGACAATCCAATAAAGTTGAAAATGCAGCCATTTCACCAAATGAAAATTACTTTATTAGGTGTTTGCAAAGCTTCCATGAAGAATCTGGAACCAAAACCAATTCCTCGTAAGTTTACAACACAGTTATGAAATGCCATATCTGACCTATAGATGAGTTGATATGTTAGGAAGATGTAACGGGTTTTCAATTCTGGATTTTGGTCCTCAGCATTGGCTAGTAGTGAGAATATTGCAAAGAGAAAATTTTATTGGGAAATCTCTTTCTTCAGTACAAGCCTCCTTATCAATCGGCCCTGTATATCACCTCACAGTGATGACATGTGTAAACTGTGTATCTCACAGAAACAGGCTGAACTATAGAGGCTTTTAGTTGGCCTCATTCTCTGATGTGTAGCATACAATTCCATAGGCACATTATTGGCTCCTGATGCCCATAAATCAGATTCCAGCTGTAGTTAAATAGCCCAATTGCCTTGTGGGTATCTTGAAGGTAAGGGAGTAAATCCCAACAGAAAATCTGGAGTGGAGTCCTGTAAACAGAAACCTGTCACTTATCAGGCAGTTTTCTGGCAATTCCTGCAGCTGAGCTCGTATTAAACATTGCTGGTTCTTTGGACATTACAAGCAATGCTGACAGAAGGGCAACTGATTCTTGGGCAACTCAGCATCTCCATCTTACTTGTCCGGACCTGCATCTTGGAGAGGACGCTCCAGGTTTATAGTTTGTGTTGATACAACGTAGTAAGAAATAGTTAATTTTTTTTCAGGTCTTGCTTAATTGGTGTTGAGCGTTAGTGCCAGGGGTTACTTCTGACAGTGAGAGGTGTCTCATTGGATGACAACAATGTGTTTCAAACTAGGCAACGCCCATTCAGCTAGATGCTGTCCCACCACAACCTGCTTGCTTTAATGGGTGCTTGGAAATTAGAGAGTCACCCCTCAACAGACAGATTGCTCATCAAACCAGGCAAGAAAAACTTGATAAAGAGCCCACTCATGGGCTGTGGGTGTCATTATCTGGGCCAGCGTTTATTGCCTATCCTTAATTGCCCTTGAGAAGATGGTGGTGAGCTGACATCTTGAACCATTGCAGTCATTGGTGTAGGTAGACCCACAGAGTTGTTGGGGAGTGAATTCCAGGATTTTGACACAGTGACAGTGAAAAGATGGTGATATATTTCTAAGTGTGGATAGTGAACTCAATGTGGACTTTACTGCACTGCAAGAAACTAAGCTTGTTCAAAGTGAATTTCTGAAAGAAACAACTACACACTTTTGTGGAAATCCCCAAGAGGCAACATTCTGAGTGTGCATGGAACAGTTTTCACTATTTAAAGAAAAACTTCACTCTGATGATTAAACCACATTATTTCCAAACCATGGTCTCCTGGGGGGCATCCAAGTTCACATTTCTGGCACGTGCTGGATCTAAACTTCACCAGATATGCCGCCCTCAACAGTGTCCTCATAATTCATAGCTATCGCAGCGCATATTGTGACACTGACTACTCTCTGGTATGAAGCCAAGGAAGCTCCAGCACACTACACAGAAATTTATCCTTGTATCAACTCTTCCTGTACCGCTGACCCAGAAAGAAACCAACAGTTCTTCAGCATTCTCCATCAGGCTCTTTTGCACAATATCCAAGGTCAGAGTACAGGACTATCGGCTCAATTACATCTATAACTCTGCATGCACTGTGAATGGAAGAAGAGCTCAGGCAAACGCTAACTGGTTTAAGACTTACTGGACTGAGCTGGAGCCAGCTACTGCAGGGAAGGAAAGAGTCTTACTGAAGTACAAGCAAGACCCCAGCAAACAAAATCCAGAGCCGCCTGAATCAAGTCTCAACAGACCACTTGCCAACATACAATTGGCTGCTGAATTTAGGGATAGTAGAAGACTGCATAAAAGCACCAAGAATTCAACAATTAAATCAGGCCCCTTGAAGGTGAGAACAGATATGATCATCATTGAACCTGTCGAGGAAGTAGGAGCATGAGTGGATCACTGCTTTGAATTCAGTTGAGAACCATTATCATTGAAGAAGCTCTCCACACTATTCCAGACTTTCCTGTCATGTAGGAGCTGGATAGCTCCATTATAATAGAACTCACAAAGGTCTTCAAACTAATCAATAAAAATCAACTCTTTAAACTGTTGTGAAAAGTAAGCTCTTGCTTGGACTCTTGAACATCATTTCTTCTTCCCACACAAACAAGCAAAGTTCCATTAGTTACAATGGGGTATCAGAGAGGATTCCACCATTCAGCTGGGCTACTTTCTGGTGCCAATCTTTTCAACATATGATTTGTTGATTCAAATGAGTGTGTCTGCCTGCCTGCCAGAGCAGACCTGTTCAATTTCGCAAGGATACATGCCAAAATTAAAGTGCACAATGTTGTAGTCTAAGAGTTATTGTTTGCAGATAATGCTGTACTGGCACCCTATACTGAAGTTCATTTGCAACAGCTAAACGATCAGTTATCCCAGGGCTGACAATCAGAGTCAGGAAAGTCAAAGCTGGGGCCAATGACATACTTCACCTTCCATCAATGGGAACAACCCCACTCCAGAAGTAGTTGACAGCTTCACTTACCTTGAATCAATTACTGGCAACCCTGTCCCTTGATGTTGAAATTAGCAGCAGCATTGCCAAGGCCACAGATGGAATGTCAAAGTTGAGAAGTTGAGTGTGGAACAGCAGTAACAAAATGAAAATACAATGCTCTGTGGGTACCAGGCTTGTGTCCCTATCACCCTCCAAAGGCAACTTGAACAAACAAGAGATGAGGCTGAATGACTTTCACCTCTGATACCTCAGATGAAAATTGGGCATCTCCTTGCAAGACAGAGCGCTGAATATTGAAGTACACCGGGTTGAGGGATCACCAGCACATTGGCCCTCTTGAGTCATTGGTAACTCCATTGGCTGAGTCATGTAAACCAAAAGAATGGCAGTTGCATCCCCAAAGACACGATTTGTGGTGAGTTTACCATTGGCACAAGACCAATACATTGCCAATGTCTATCATACAAAGTTTCAAGACATCACGAGACCCCAAGTGGACGAGGATCAAAGTCGATGTCCGGGAAGTCCTCACGGCTGACAAGATTGACTGCTGGAAAGAAGTATATGGTAGAAAGTGCAGGATAAAATAACTGATCAAATTGCAGAAAAGAGAATCCTTCGGAAGAAAAAAAAAACTGTCAGTCAACCTCAGGCGAATGCTATTCATCTGTGCCAGCCGCATAGGGGAATGCCAATTGCAAATCAGCCTCTGCAGCCACAACAGACAATGTTCAATCCAAAAAATAACATGCCATGCACAGTCCGTCAATTGCTGGAACAGATGGATACCATGAAAGCACTTTTAGTTCACTCACTAAAAATACGGTTCAATAGAACAGGAGCAGATCTTTCAGCCCCTCACATCTCAAGCTCTTTTATCATTCAGTTGATCATAACTGATATATATCCAAACTGGATTTATCTGCTATGGCTCCATTTCTCTTAACACCATTGGCTAGAGGGAGTCTATCAATCTCAGATTATAAATTATTAATTGAGTTAGTGTCTATCATTTTTTTTGTGTGGGGAGAGCTGTACGTTTTTGCCATTGATTCAAGGTACATTTTTGGCTGAAGGAGTATTTCCTAGCCCCTCCCCTGGCTGTTGTTACAATGCTGTAGTTGCGTGGGATCTGGGAGCCATGAGTTCACATGTTTTAACCAACTGGTGGACTACTGTGTGAAATTTAAATCTTTCCCTTATTTTGTCTTTAAAATGATAATTTTTACAATGGTAATTGGTCGTGAATGATACACAGATTTTCATAGTCTATTATGAAATAATTGTCCATTGAAATTTTTCTTTTATTTTGTAGCTTTATGTCATCTATTCTCATATTTTCTACTGATGCTATCTGATGTACAGATAAATAATTAAGCAATAGCAAAATCTGTTAAAGTGATGACATAACCTGTGTAATTGTCTCATAGTTTTGGTTAGAATAAATATTAAATGCAAATCATCTTTGTGTGATTGATTTTTGGTCCACAGAGTGTATGTGAATCAATGATGGGTGTTACTAGTGTGACTGACAATACTATGATACATTCACTTGCCTGGTTCAGGCCCAGGGTGTTTTATCACCAAGACCTTATTTAAAAACCATGATAGTCCACTTCCCCATACAGAGTGGAAGAATAGGGAACCAAAAACAGATTTCAACAGGCAAAGTTCAGATGGCCCTTCGCAGCCTATCTCTTTTTAGATATATGGCATGTTGTAAATTTTGGGAGCGTCTTACAGAAGGGAAGGGCTAGAGAATACATCTACTTGTTTTATATGTCTTGTGAGAGTTTTTGGTGCAGTTCCAGGATTGGTGTGGAAAATCCTCCAGACTATCCCCTTCAATTAGAAAGGCAACCGTAGATTAGCCCCTTTTCTCATTTTCCAGTAATGTGTGGGCCTTAATGAGGTCTACTTCATCATCTGCTCAATATCTCCCGGATGGAAATTTCAAACTCTGGGTGTTCTTTTCTTAGTTCAGTAATATAAATTTGTTTTTCAGGAATAAAATCTAGAACCTGAATTACTTTGGTTATTAAATTTATACCATGTTCGATCCTTAGAAATAGCTCCTGCCGTAGCTAATGAACCTGGAACACTGGCTCAGGAGACAACCGAAAGAAAAGTCAAGTACATTGATTCATGTCCTGTTGCACTTCCTACTGGCCATGAAAGCATGCACTTTCATCAAAACAGAAGCAAAAATGTAGAAAACAAGGTGCCTGTTTCAAAACCTGATGACAGGTGTGCAAATACCAGGTCCAGGAACAGAATTGAAAAACACATGTGAGTACTGATTGAAAGAACATTTTCATTTGTTAAAATGTAACTCAAGCTTCAAAGCAAGAAAAAAAAGCAGCGTTATTTTTCTATGTAAGTTCAGGCAAACTGAAATCAAATAAATCATCCAACAATCGTTGAGTGATCAATGTTTATTAAGAGGTTGGAAAAGTATCACTGCATTTCTTTGAATTACACCATGAGGCTTTTATGTCTACCTGAAAAGGCAAATAGGCCTTAGATTAAGGTTTTATCTGAAAGATAATATTTCTAAACATGCAGCACACCCTGAACATAGGAATGCCAGCCTAGATTGAAATAACTCCATAGAGGCTGGTGTCCTGTTGCCAAGTCATCCTTTATTTACACATGGAGTGTACTTCACACTGATCCAGCTTCCTCAGAACCAGCTCTCAGAGTGAACATGATGTCTGAGACTGCTGTTTATATCTGTCAGCCAGGGATCCCTGATTGGACGAGGTTAACAACCCCAATCAGGGAGCTCATATTCTGTGAGGTCCACCTGGCGGATCTTGTTACAATCATTCCAGAGGATGTGCTCAAATTTCTGGAGTGGGACTTGCAAACTCGACCTTCTGACTCACACAGGATATCTCTGTTCATATTTCTGTTGAGAATGAAACTGAAACAAATATAGAAAAATGCTGTTTTACGTTTGTTTGACAGATGAGCCTGTTTTCTCCTTTTAATTTTAATATTTTATATTATTGTTTAATAGTTTTGAAATCCTGAGTCATATTGACTCTTGGTGGTTGGTTTTCTCAGCCCCTCGCAGGGGTGTCAGAAGTCAAAGGGGCTCCGAAAGTGCAACATGTTGTTGACTCATCACATTCCCACCTATCCCTGACCAGTCTCCCATTTTGTGGGAGAGGTGGAATCATCAGGCAGCCTATCTTTGGGCCTGTTGAAGCCTTTAAATGATAATGACGTCATTCTGCCCATGACAGGAGAGGCAAGGTGGGTATGACAAATCTCCTTTGGGGTGACTCTGTCCACTGGAAGCATTCCCTTAATCTCACCAAGGTCATTCACTTATGCTGTAATCCTCTTGGATGCACAAACCTGGCCCTTCAACCTGGATCCTAGGGCCAGGCAGCCTGACCATGCCTAGACTCTGGATCTGCCTTAAATCTGGCCTTGGTAGCATACTCTTCCTCAGCAGCTATTTGTAAACTTATCTGTGGCTATTGTTTGAGTCTGGCCCTGCAGATGCTACTGAGCTATCAGCAGGAGCCCATGTTCCTCTCCAGATGTGAGCAGAAGTGTCAGTCTGAGGCAGTTATGCCCTACCAAGCATAAAATGGCTGAGGAGCAGCTGACTTTTTCATAACGGGCTCCTGACCGTCTTTTCGCTGGTTTATTGGTGAGTGGGGCCTAGGACAAGGGCATCTTGAAAAATCCTTGGAAACCCTGCATCTGGTAAAGGCTCTGTGGCCTCTTCAGTTGACGCTTTCTTTCCAATGGGTAATACAACAAAAATGTTTATGCTTCACAAAGATTTGTTTGGATTTCCCACCTTTACTGCCTGATTTTGAGATGAAGTAGGAATGATACTGTGGAATTGTGTGTCCCATCTACTGTAAGTCTTGGGGATTGGTTAGCTCATTTAGTTGGAAGGTAGGTTTGAAAAGCAGAGTGATGCCAACAGTGAGGTTTCAATTCATGCACTGATTGAAGTTACCATGAAAGGCTTTCCTTCTCAACTTTTCCCCTCGTTTGAAGCACCACTAATCATCTCTCTCTCTCTGTCTAATGGGAGAGCAGCCCTATAGTCTGGTAAGATAATGCTGACTTTACCTTTCATTTATTGTGTTATGAATCATGTTTGTTTAAAATGATGATTCAGTATTATTAGACAGAATGTGAGGGTAAAATAAAAGATTCATAACGAGCTTATTGCTCTGATGAATTTTTGTATTTGTTTCATTTTTCTCCTGAAAACAGCTTCAGTATCTACACTTGCACATTTACCTATGAGCTATTGCTGCTTTTCTAACACCGAAGAGGAATTAATAGATTTGCCTTTGTAATGACCCCTGTGTCTTTTTGTTTTGGATTAAGGACACAACAAGAGGAGAGCCAAATAGGCAACATAATGTTATGGACAGACCAGACCAGACCCCTTCAAAATATTTTAAGAAAGTTGTCTAGACCCTAACTTTTGCCTATTTAAAAGGCAAATGTGAAATGCTGTGTTCCATATGCAATGCAACTGGTCAAACTACTCAATATTAAGCAAGGACACAATTAATTCAAACACTACAGTTAAAATACAACAAAAGAAAGAAGAACTTAGAATAACTTAACTCTATTGGAAAACTTAACAGAATAATTGATACAGTAACTATTACTAATTAACTGTTCCAATATAGTAACATCCCATAAACACACCCTTGGCAAAAAGACAAATTCAGAAAATAGATTTTTTACATGCAATACCCTCAGTTAGAAGAGAAATCCCAGCTTCTAACTGTAGCCAAGAGAGGGGGAGGAAATAGTTTCTACTTCTTTAAGATTCCATCAACTTTTGCTGAATCTAAAAGCTAAAAAAAAAACATTTGAAATCCCGGTCTGTGAGAGCTGGCCACACCCATTCAGGCTGCTTCTATTGTTCCAACTTGAAAAAAAAACACAGGGTCTCGCAAGCTGTTCAAGTTACCACAGATTTCTCAACACATCTCATTCACTCTCTCTTAAATGCAACCAGGACAAATACACTTCTGAAAGTCACAGCAATGTCACAATAGGAGTCAGGTGACACTTACTCACATGAAGCCCTCCTACTTCTATTTATAAGAGTGCTTTATAAGTATCCAACTATCAATAGTTGTAAATTAACAACATTCCACAGCCTCCAGCTTAGTGTTACCGGTTTGTTCCAAGGAACCAGCCGAGACTTTTAATGCCAGAATCCGATACCTGTGCACGGATACGTGAATCCTGTCACAGATTCATTGTTTGTAAGAATGAACAATACCATTTATATGTCTACGGCTAAATGTTGGCAGTGTTACAAGGCCCTGCCATCTTATAGATTTGCTAGGTTTCAGCAACAACTTGACTCATAGGACACGTCACCAAACTGCACTCTTTGACCAAATTTCTGGGAGGATTCTGGACGATCACTCCGCACCCACTGTCAGTGATGCCCCCAGGAAGCTAGCACTGAAAACTTTGCTCTAAACATTCAGTGAGGCCCTGGATGCAAGGTGAAGAAGACGAGTTTCAATCCTTAGTCCCTGCTGTTTTTTAGCTGCTGTTCTGCCATGCCAGCCAGATGGAATGCTTAACAGCCTATGGCTCCTTTCCTGCTTTAACCTCCAAATGAAAGGCTGTGCCATGTGATGTTAGTTGACTCTGGCCTAAGGCACCAAATTTGGATGCATGGCATTTTGGGGAGACAGAGCTAAACCAAGGGAGCTTTTAATGCTAACTTTTTCAACAGAAAATGGTCTATAAGTATGCAAAATAGCAGGTAAGATTGATGAATGAAGTATGCAGCCAACTGAATATGAATGGCATGATGGTGATATTCTTTAAGGGGTGCAATTTTCCAAAATTATAACGTTAAAATGAAACTTGTCTCATTGCCTGCAAATGTTTCTTGCAAAACCTTTTGCATTTCAATCAAAAGCTTTAATGAACTGAAATTATACAGTGTTTTAACACAATTTCTTGAATGTTGCAATGAACAAAAACAAGTTTATATTGCTGATGTTTAGAAAAAACCTATAATTATTGATGACAATCTCATTGTCTCAGGTTCTGGTTTGTGGAAAGGAGGGGTGCTCCCTCTAAAGGCAGCTTTTAAAATGGAAGTGTTAAGTTACTTTGAACTTTTACCTCAGTTAATATAAATGAATAAGTTGTTCTGAGTCTGATTGTGTTTGCGCAGTATGAGTTTATAAGTACATAACACCATCATATCATCCCGAATGGATTAAGATGAAAAGAACTGAATACATGCTGAGTAGAAGTTAAAAACACCAAAAGTGTGAAAAGATTTTTTTGAGGAAGTCTTTGAAGGTGAGGAAATACAGAGCCAAATGTAAGATTTTGAAAGGTAATTCAAATGGAAGAGTATGTCGACCTTTGCTGCTGGTTGAATTATTTTTAATTTTGTAATAAATATACATTTTTATTTATAACTACAATACATTGTTACAACTGTATCTATCTCAATTTTAAAAATATTCTCACACAGGTTGTAGGATGCTGGCAAGAACAGTTGTTGACCACCCTAATTTGCCTGGAAAAGGTGATGGAGAGCTTCCTTCTTGAATCCCTGCATCCATCTTTTGCAGATGCACCCAAGTGTTGGGAAAATAGTTCTAGGATTATAACCCATTACCAGTGAACATTATAGTTCCAAATCTCAAAGGCGCGTAGCTTGGAAGCTTGCAGTGTAATTTGCAATTGGTGGTGTTCCCATTGTCTGCTGGGAGTATTATCTAGGTAATAGAAGCCACAGGTTTGGAATGCACTGTTGAATGAGCATGAACTGCTGAAGTGCTTCATGGGTATTCACTGTTACCACAGTGTGTCGATGGTCGTGGGAATGAATATTTCAGTTGGTTGATGCAGTGTTAGTCAAGTGGGCTGTTAAGTCCTGAATGGTATCAAGCTTGTTGAGTTTCATTGAAGCCTCACACACTCAGGGAACTGGAGAGTCTTTTTAACGCATTCCTGGCTTGTGCCTTGTACGTGGTGGACAGGCTCTGGGGATATGGAGGTGAGGTGCTCAACATTGGATTCCCAGTCTCTGATCTACACATGTAGCCACAAATCAAATTTCAGCTAATACTAACTCACAGAACGTTAATAATGAGAGTTTCTGTGATAGTCATGTTACTGCACGTCAAGGGAAGGTGTTAGATTATATTTTGTTGGAGATGGTCATTGTCTGGACCTTGGGTGATGTAGATGTTACTTGCCACTTATCACCCCAAACCTGGATGTTGTCCAGGCCTTGCTGCCAAAACTCCCCTAATTATTTTCTCAATGTCTGATTTAGGTGTGATCAATCCAACGTCATGCTGATTCGTCTGCACAAAACCTTGGAGTGACAGTAGAGCCGTGCAGTGTAAAGGGAATGTTGCTTGCTGCATTTTAGCATGGACTGCCTCAGTAGCTGAGGGGTCATGATTGTGCTGAACATAGTGTAATCTTTAGCACACACCCTCCTCCCTCCTCACTTCTGACTTCATGATGAAATGAAGGTCATTGATGAAGAGGGTTGGATCAAGGACATTACTCTGAGAAACTCTTGCAGCAATGCTGCAGGACTGAGATTGATTAGGTTTCCAACAATCACAACCACCATCCTCTGTGTTAGGTATGACTCCAACATAGTCTAATATCCATTGTTTTCAATCTTACCAAGGTTCCTTGATGCCCCAATTGGTCAAATTATGCATTGATGTCAAGGGCAGTGACTCCATTGTGTTCAATTGTTTTGTACATATTTGAGCTAAGCTCAGAAGCTGAGTGGAATGTAAATAACCTAAAATAATAACCAGTGAGCAAGTGGTATATAGGTCCTGCTTGATAGCACGGCTAAAAACATTGCCCATCACTCCTCTGATTATTGAGAGGAGGCTGATGGGAACAGATTGGATTTATGCTGCTTTTTGTGGACAGGACAAACCTGAGTAACGTTCTATTACCTAGCGCCAATCTCCTGCTTTGTCCCTCTACCTTTATGTACTACTTATATCTAAATAATCATCCAATGCTGCCTTGAATGCCTCAATTGAATCTGCCTCCACCATATATTCAGGCAGTGCATTTTACACCTTAACAACTCGCTGTGTGAAAAAAGTGTTTTCTCACATCATCCTTGCTTCTTTGGCACATCTCTTTAAAACTATGCCCTCTCTTGTTCCTTTTATGAGCAGGCACAGTTTCTCCCCATCTAATCTATCCAGCTGCTAATGACTTTGAAAAGATCCATCAAATCTGCCCTCAGCCAAGGAGAACAGTCACAACTTCTTCGATCTATCCTCATGACTGAAGTTTCTCATTAGTGGAACCATTCTCGTAAATCGTTTCTGCATTCTCCTCATTGAATTCACATCTTACCTATAATGTGGCACCCACAAATGTACATAACACAGCTGAAGTCTAATAAGTCTCTCATAGTGTTTCAGCATCACCTCCTTTCTCTTGTACTGTAATCCCCTTATGATAAAGCCAAGGACACTGTATACTTTATTGACTGCTCTATGCACCTGTCCTGGTACCTTCAGTGATCTGTAGACACATACACCCAGGTCCCTCTACTCCTACACCCGCTTTTGAATTGTATCCGCTATTTAATATTGTCTTGTAATTTTCTTCCTACCAAAGTGCATCACCTCACACACTGAAACTTATCTGTCACCTACCTGCCCGCTCCATTAATCTGTCAAATTCCACTTTTCCTTTCGTTGATTTTCTCACCACCTGCCACACGCTCAGTCTATTAGTTACTTACTTCAGGATTCAAGCAGCTCAGTCAGTAATGGTGCTTCTGGCCACTCCTGATGAAGGGTATTGAAGTCCCCACTCTGTACCTTTGTTACCCTCAGTGGGTATAGCAAGCAGTGCTCAACATGGAGGAGCAGTGATTCATCAGCTAGGTGGATGGTAATCAGCAGATGGCCTCATTGCCCTGTGTGATCTGATGCTGTAAGATTACATGGTGGTATCTAAGACATTGTCTGTGGGGTGTGATTCAGTATGGATTACAGCCAGGCTGTTGCTTGACTTAACAGTGGGGCAGCTCTGCCAATTTTGGCACAAGCCTCCAAATTATGTGAAAGATGCCTTTGCAGGATCGCCAGGTTTTGGTGTGTCATTGTCATTTCTAGTTTCTAAATTGATGCCTGGTGATCTGTTCTGGTGTAATTCCTTTTGATATTTCTGTAGTAGTTTGGTGCTGAGTAACTTGTCCATTTCAGATGGCAGTTCAGCATGGTGTAGACCAGGTAAGGGTGATACATTCCTTCCAAAAGGCCACTAGTGAACCAGATGTGTTTTTTGCTTTGTTCAGGCAATGTGGCTGACACTGGCAAGACCAGCAGTTATTGTCCATCCCTAAGTGTCCAGAGAGCTGAGAGTCTTGAATCTGGAATTTTATAGAGAGGCACAGCATCTAACTCATACACGGGGTCTCACTGTCAGCTGATGTTTGAATCTGGAATCTGGCTATTGGTGAACCTGACCAGTTATTTGTTAAGTTGTGGTCTTTGTTGTGTGATTTACATGATATACTTTGTTTATATTCTTAAATACTTGAATATTTCTTTAAATATTGACCATGACCTTGAACACCTTGGTTGGAATATGGCCTTTAAATCATATCTTTGCATTATTCATGCTAATTTATGACAGATACATTGCATTTTCTATTAATTTTTCCCAGTGAAAAAACACAACAACAGATTCCTGTGGATCCTGAGTACACTTATAATGATGATGAGGTAGCAACAATGAAAGCCCATAAAAAACATTATGAAGATTTTATTCAGCATCTAAGATTGCGTCGCTTGCAAAGGCAGGATCGCAGGTAAATAATGGAAATATTCATATGCTGCTTTGTCAAAACAAGAAAGAAAAGCAAAATTTAATGACTCAGCTGAATTTTTTATCATAACTGATATTTTTTATGATGCGAGTGTTTCATGTATTTTCAGATTACCTCTTGTAAGAAGGAATTGATTGACATCTGTTTGGATAGCTATATTTCACTCTTTCTTTACACAATGGAAATAATATTTTCCCTTGGCTAGTGAATATAACATAATATTTTGAGTTGATACAGCACCATGCAGATAATTGTGGGTGTACAATAATATGAAAATAGTTTACAGATTCGTGTGAGATCAGAATATTCTTTGCGATTGTTGGGATTGTTGTGAATGGTGGTAGTCTGAAATAAAATTGAATCATAAATTGGTAACATGATTTTATCGATATTCTAAGTATCTGAAGAAGGAAAATGTGCAGAGATATGTAGAGAGGTCAGGGGAGTGGTATTATATGTGTTCTTCCTTCAGACAGCCAACACAAACATGATGCTTTGAATTGCCTCTTCTGTGGTATACTAATTCTATGATTATGTGAAATGCTTCCTTGATTTACCTGATGACACTGTCTACAATGGTGCAGTAAAGAAAAACATGCATACAGCTTAATTGTTTCTGTTTTCTCCTTTTCCAATTAACTTGGAGTGAAAGTAGAATTCTCATGAATGGTTAATAGACAGTGGAAATAAAGTTTTAGATCATTATCATATTCTCGTGGCTTGACATTTTTATGTGCTTCTCATTTTGAAAGAGAGGGAACAATACCTATGGAGATCGAACTGGTTAAATCTGCAATTATGGGGCCAGGCAGCCAAGTCGATAAGGATTTCTATAGGAATGAAAAGAAATTCTTGTGCTTGTATAACACCTTTCATGACCGAATTACTTTACAGCCAGTTAAGTTGTTTTAAAGTGATGTCTCTGTTGTAGTGTAGGAAGGGATATAGGAGCAAGAAGTGGGCATTATCACAGAAGTAAACAACACAGGAGGCCATTTAACGGATTGTATCTATTTTGGCTGTTTGAAAAAACAGACATTATCACTCGCAACTTTTGTCCAGAATCCTGAAAGTTGTTAATCCTCAAGTAGTTTTCCAACTCCCTTATGTCATTGATTATGGAATCTGCTTTAACCACATTTTCAGGGAGAGGGTTTGATTCCTGCCACTGAATCAATTCTACAAATGTACTATCATCTTTCCAATTAACTCTACGAGCTTCCATACTTTTAGCCTCCTGAAAGTCCATTATTAGATATCAACTGCACAACCTTGATCAGCCTTCTCTGCTACTTAATTGAAGTGTAGAATCAAATTAGTCAGATCTGTCTTTAAGAAATCCACACCAGTATTCCTTGATTAAACAATGCCTTTCAAAATTAAAGGTTAGCTTGTCCCTGATTGTAGTTTCTGATAGCATGCCCACCTACTGATATAAGGCTGTAGTTTTCTGATTTATCCCTTTTTTGAAAAGTGGCACAATAAATGCAACTCTGTTGTTCTCCTCCAATCCTATACTCAATGAGGATTGAAAATTGTGGCCAGTTAATGGCCACATTGGACTTTGTTGTGCTGCTGCTGACTTCTAACCCACATGTGAGGAACCTGGCACTTTTCGCTTTGTAGGTGGTGTTGGTCAAGGTGATGGGGGCCTCCTTTGCAGGTCCCATTGAGACCCCTGATGCTCTGCACAAAAAGTCATTCCCCATTTTTTAACCTTCTCCCGCTGCCTTTTTAATTATTTTCAATCTCCAGAGCCTCATATATAAAATATACATATCAATGTTTCCAGTGTCATTGGCTTTTGTGATCCCTGAACTATCTATTTCTTCCCTTTGCTATGTTTCAATGATTTACAGTTCAGGGACTTGATTACCAGGGGAGGAAAATGGTGACTTGTTGCACGCACATCTGCAAATTTAGTAGCTTTAGGAGACTTTAGGTGCTGCCAGTTGCATTTCAGATTTTGAGGACCAGCTTGAGCCACTACTCCTTCATTTCTGCACTGTGGTTTTCGGTCAACCACCTTCTGGAACAGATATGGTTCAGGAATCTATCTCCCAGATACATTGTATTGCAATCAGGCAAAGAACAGTCGCAAGGCTGATCACTAGTTCTTGAGACCTAAGTTAAGCGGAAAAACTGAAGTAACTTGAGCTCTCAAATTGGAAGGAAACATCGCGTTAGGAAGGGCTGATGTATGGCATACTACAGGCATATTTGACACATGAGATTATGTCATGAGCTAGCAGAGAAACAAAAAGCGAGATAACAAAAAAGATTTAAAAAATCTCTGAGGTAGGATGAAGTATGATTTTGGAAGAGGTTTTGTGTTGTGGCATTGTGCAGAAAGGGTTTGGGTTTTGAGTAGAGTGGTATCAGTTCTTAAGCTTGCTAGAACCTGTGCAACTTAATGCTCAGTTACACTTTGAACACTTAACATTATTGCTGGTAGGTGTGGCTGACCTGTTATTACTGTGAACATAATTAATGAATAAAAGCTTAATTTTTCCAAACCTTCTCACCTTTACTGCCCAGGTATTAAATGTTCATGGTTTCAGTTGCCTTCTGCTTTAGGATTGTCAAGTAGCTGCTGCCCAACTCTTGATGTCACCTGCTGCCTGTTAGCATTGCTGATCAAAATCTTGTTAAAGTTTCATTTTGGTGCTCTGGTTTACACTCCAATACATGTAGCTATCATGAATCTTGAGTTCCAATTAGGAATTATAGTTTTATTTATGCACAAGATTCTTCATATTATTGCTGTGTTGAGCACAACTTTTTGTTCTTAACTGCCTTTGCTCAAAATAATTAAAGATATGGAGAATATTTTGTTAAATTATTGTCTTTTTTATGAACAGGATTAAGTAGCAGAGCAAAGGAATTGCTCTGGAAAACTTAGTTGCATCTAATATTTTTCAAAAAATACACACTTTTAGTTGGAATCCAGCAGTGGAAAATGATTTACAATTGGCTTTTAACAAGATATTTAAATTACCATATATACTGTAGCATTATTATAAAACCAACTCATTCTCTCTCTTCAGAGAATTTGAACAATTTAACAATGCAAAAGATATTGGTTTGAGACCTGCAGAAGGACTAGACTCTCCATATCCCAAAGTCATACCCTTTATGCCATCGAGACAGCCGCTAAAAATATGTTCTGCAGTGCCACCAGCTAGAAAGCCCAAGCTTAAAGTCAAACACAGCAATCTTGGAGAAAAACCAGTAAGTTAGTTTCATTTCAGTTCTACTTTTGTGGTAAAATTATGTAGCAGTAATGTTATAATTAGAAATAGAAACAGAAAATGCTGGAAGTTATTCAACGGCAGAGGCTGGAACTGAATGTGTGGGCTAACTCTTTGTTTTTGGGTCAGGACTCTGACATCGGGATCAACTGGCTCGAGTGGCACCCAGTAGCTGACACAGTTTCCTGGTGAATCCAATTACATTCTTTGTTGTGATTGTTGGACTTTTGGAGATCAAGATTGAGGTCAAGCCCTTTCTTGGAGTTATGTGTCTTTTTCTCTTGCAAAGTAAATCGTGAAAGAGTTAAGCCTTTCACTACCTCCAGAGGATCAGACACATGTGATATTGCTGTCTTGTGTTGCCTTCTCCTCATGCACTTGTGATAGGAGCTTTGTCTATCTGGGAAAATCACATTTTCATGTTTGGGGGCACCATGGATCCTAGGTTGCCCAGATCATGTTTATGCTGATCTGTACTGGAGGTGGCAGGTTGTCTTACTTTGCCAGACCACAGAAGATTGTAGGAGTCTCTCTGACATTGTTCCTATTTCCTGAGACACCTCCTGCCAGGCCTGCTTCATCTGACAAGCTAGTGTTCTCCTGCTCCTCTCAGGAACCAGAATGCTCTGCCACACCGTGGTTAGCATTGCTGCCTCATGGCGCCAAGGACCCAGGTTTGATTCCACCCACAGGCAACTGTCCGTGTTGACTTTGCACATTCTCCATGAGTCTGCATGGGTTTCCTCAGGGTGCTCTGGTTTCCTTCCACGGTCCAAAGATGTGTAAGTTAGGTGGATTGGCCATGTTAAATTGCCATCAGTGTTCAGGGATGTGCAGGCTAAGTAGATCAGCCACGGGAAGTGCAGGGTTACAGGAATAGGTAGGGAGTGGTCTGGGTGGGTGCTCTTTGGAGAGTCGATGTGGACTCAATGGGCTGAATGAGCTGCTTTCATACTGTAGGGATTCTATAAAAATCTGCCTAAGTGTCTTGCCCATTTGCACAGCAACCTTACATTGAAAGAATGGAATCCTACCTCTTTATGCATGGTGCTAGCTTCTCTTCAAGGAGTCCAGAGATGGAGGGAAATCATATTGCCCTCCATTTGCAAGACTTGATCAGTTGTGAATTTAGTATAATCTGATGCCTATTCAAATGAGGTATCAGTTACCTGCTTGACATTGTGATGAGCATTCACTTGCGAGTTCATAGTCAGGGCCAGTGATGCCCCTTGAAAGCACCCAGAGACATGGAAGTAGCGTCTGATCCTCACTTTAACAGGTACTGCCAGCATGTGCCCATGTGATCAGTGGGGTGTGAAGTGCACCTCTACGAATGCTTACAATTCTCTCATGATTTTCCTTTATTGAAACATCCTCTGGCAGCACTGATGCTCTCACCCAGGAAGCCTGTTCTTTATTGGTATACCCTATGGAAGTCACTGAGGCCCAGTTCCAGAGGTGACCTTTCTCGACAGCAAATATACAATATCAGCTGCTTGGACACTCCCACTCTGCCTCACTAACCCCTCAAGGTTGACTCCCTCTCCTTTCTCTACCTCACCCAATTGATCTAGTGCTTACAGATGAAACTCTCTTCAATATCAAAACACTGAATGAAGAGTTATCTGATCCTTCCTTTTTTAATGCAGCACTCATATATGCACCATCTCTCTGACTGCCTTCCCACCGTGATGTTGCCTACATTTCCCGTGATTAACCTCTGAGGTTGCTTTTTGTGCTTCGTTGAGCTACCACTTGACTTGTTTGCATGATAAGTTGATGGCTCACCACTGTTATGTGGGTTCCCTCTGCAGAAAACCCCATACTTCAAATCACATCAAAATTGCTGTGTGGCAGGACCATGTTGGGAAGTTTGCATGTAGTTTGCCAAACCAAAATTGCAGGCTCACTTGCCTCCTGTGTTCAGTGAGATCAATGTTTCAATTTCATGAGCTATCTTCAGAGTGGTGACAAACAAAAAAAAACCTTTCCTTAAATTCTGATGAAAGTCCATCAAACATGCTGTTTGGCTGAATATTTTCCAGCATTTTTTAGTCTTATTTCAGTTTTCCATCTTCCACAGTGTTTTGTAAATGTGTAGCTTGAAGCACTGAATAATCTTGCTTATACCAGGCCAACTTGTGCCTTTGTATTTCTTCCTTTACACAATATTTTTGTTTTGTCTTTCCTTCTCAAGGTATTGGCCTGTCATGATGAAGGTTCCATGGGTACAATGGACCATTTTGCAAAGGTAAGTTACAAAAGTAGACTATTCTGAATTGGGTTGCAGGAAAGTGGGGAAGGGAATTGGAGCAGTTAGAGGTGTAACAAAAATGAACCTTTTCCTGCTCCAACATCCACACACTATGTTTCCAGCAAGGCTTGCTGTAAAGCTTTCAGGAGAGGATTGCCACCCCTCGTGCAAGTTCATCTCCTGGATACTTCTGCAAGTAACCTGGGAGAAAAATTATTGCAGCAATAAAATATTTTTAAAAATAATTCTTCAAACGTCTTCACTAATGAGTTGTGAAAATATATCAGATGTGGAGGAAAACTGTTTGGATGACGATTGACTCTCAATCAGTCAAGCAATAAATTCTGTTCACTTTTGAACTGCCATGGGAAGTGCACAAAAATCTATTGATCTCATACTTGAATATACTAATTGATGGAACATCCTTCATCCACGGAAGAAGAAAATTCCACAGATAAAATATTACTTAAATTTACCAGTACCTTGCAGTCTTTCCCACAGATGACTTGGCTTTGGGAAAGATCTGACAATTAGCCGAGGAGTTTTTAACTTCAGATAACTGTGGGACTTTTGCTAATGAGAAAGAAGGCGAAGGTAAAAATGAAGACTTGTACAATATGCGAGCATTAAAAAAAATGTATTGTTCATTTGAATTGTTCCAATATCATTCACTTACAATCACTTTAAGCTCTATCTTAGAAAACAAACAATTTACACTGGAAGTATATTAGCAGACAAAGTACAATTGAACATAGGCAGACATGCTACTCATGGTATCACCTGAAACAAGAAAATGCGTGCACATAATTTCTGCTGGGCAGACTAATTATTTTCTCTTGCTCGATGGTCTTTTTACTGCTTTTTGTGACCATTTTCAGCCCAATTATTAATATCTTGTCCATTGGATATGCATCCACAGCTTTCTTGTGTTTGCTGCTACAGTCTGAAATAAGCTGCTGATCAAACTTGAGCAAACTAACTCTTTCTGTCTGCCACATATGCATCAGCTGTCAGGGTATAATTTGCAGCTAGTGAATTACTTTTGAAGCTAATGTATTCACAGTTGTCGGGAAATACTTGGGCCATTTTCACTCAAGATCCCAGAAACAGAGATGAGGTAAATAACTAATGAATTTTTTTTGCAGTATTCGTTGAGGGCTAAAAGGGCTAAATGTAAATATTGTACGATAGGTCTTCTGCCCTTCTTTAGGTGCTCCTATAGGATCTTTTGAATGTACTTGAGAGGACAGATGTCTCCTTGTAGCTTTCTTTAATGGGGGTTCCTAGTATGGAGCTGTTGTGATGCCATCAAGCTCCCCCTGTAGCCAGTGAGATTAGGGAATGAAATGTATTAAAATCCAATTACTTTTTAAGTACATTGCATCAAGAGAAATAATCATTTGATATAATGAGAAAATGTACAAAATAAATTTGTTTCAAGGTCTAGTGTTTTGTCTTAAACATGTTGTTTCACAACAGTGCAGAAATATAAAATTATATTTTAAGACTGGATCTGTTGCTCCGCAATTGTTATTACTTACACTGCTGGTAGAAACCCAGTTATAAAAACAAAGTTGCTGGAAAAGCTTAGCAGGTCTGGCCGCATCTGTGGAGGAGAAAACAGAGTTAACGTTTCGGGTCCGGTGACCCTTCCTCAGTTCTGA